TGGAATCCAAAGGCCCCTCATGGCTTGAGATGTGAGGATTGTGGCGTAAACTGTCGTTCTTGGAATGGCATGGCGTGGATCGACAAATATTGAAGGGATGGGATTGGTGATAGCGCAGCCGACAGACTGCTGGTCCGAATGCTAAATGGTGACGATGGCGTTCTTCAAGTGCAGCTTGGCGTTTGATCGAGGTCAAACTTGAACTTGCAACATAGACTATTGCTCAGACCAGACAAGTTGCGGCTCCGGTCTGATGAGCTTAAGTTGAGCCGGCCGACGAACCTGTTGGATTCGTAAAGCAGCGCAACCCAAAAAAGACCCCCAGTCTCTAGTCTTTGCCACCGCAGGAATGCAAGCCCAGAAAGGGACCTCCCTTGGCATCTCGTCTCCGACAATTTGAAAGGGTCGTGGGATGATATGGCCATGCGAGATATCCAGGGATCGAAGAAAGGATTCGAAGTCCTGTGTATTGCGAGGCCACCAAGATAGTCTGCTCTTTCTATTCCATTGCTCTCGACATGAAGATGCTCAAATGCCAATACCTCTGTAGATCGTGTAAGTCCAGGCGAGTGCTCCTCAGGCCGTCTGACGATGTTGTTGAATGTTACCGCTGGACATCAAGCGACGGTAGCAGGGATGCTGTGCAGGCACTCAGCGCTACAGCATCTTCGGCTCAATGCTTCCTGATCTCGCAGCAACGTCAAAGCCCGCACAGCGCGGCGGCTGGCAGCATGCGCGATGTGATTGGCCCACACGCGTTAGCCCTCTCTCCTCAGCTCTGGCGTTGCAGTTGCAGTGAACCGTTGTTGTGTGCCCTTCGCCGTTTCGTTCGACGCTCCAGTCGAACAGGCTTGTGCCTCAGCGTTGACCACGAGCTAAATCGCACGTTGAAACAAGCCGTGGAGAATAAAGCAGGACCGCCAGTTCCGGCGACATGTCAGACCTTGAGCTGGCGAGAGACGACATTGACACCAGCCGGCACTATCCTGACATTGAGAGCTGCTTGCCCCAGACGCATGTACAACGGCAGAGAGCATGGCATTCGCATGAAGTCCACCATCCTCGCATTTCGGCGGATCTCGATGGTTCAGCTGCAGCGTCGCAGCAGACTTGCTGATCACCGAGGCGGGCCTCCTGTCATTTTCTCTCCGACCCAAACCAATGCTAACCTGGTCGGCAGGCAATCAGGTTCATGGAAATTAAACGGTGCGCTGCGCAGCGAACTCGCAAGAGGCGCTGGGATCAACCCACTTGCTGCATAGGGCAGGGTGCTTGAGAAGCGAGGAGCAGCAGATAAGGTCGAGGGTGAAGCCATCCCAGAAAGGGCTCACCGCATCGCGACTCCATCGTCGTGCAGACCGAAGCAGGCATTGAGGACCGGCTGGTGCGCCATGTTGTGCTTCGATTGGCTCGACGTCAAGCGGCTTCACTGCGAATAGCAGACACCTTGACAGGGAAAGGGAAAGCTGCGCAGCGCAAAGCAACGCCGTGCACCCTGTCCTTGGGATAAATGTGGTTTGTGTGTTTCGCGTGAGCCGCCGAACGAGGCTCGTATTGGCATGGTTTGTGGCCCTGTCTCCCAGCCTCCAGGCGTTGTAAGTGTAAGTGCAAAAGAGCCTGTATTCCTTGAGAGCGCACGCGGTGTTAGTGTCGGCCGGGATCGTCTCGATGGTGCCTTCTCTTGGTGTCGTATCGTGCAAAGCGTTGAGAAGGTACACCACATTACCACACCTGGGCCGTACAGATAGCGTGGTAGGATTTGCTGGGTTGTTAATTGCTCCTGGCAACAGGGGAAGAAGCAACTCGGGCCTCCTCTCATGAATCAGGGCAGTCGTCGGAAGATGGCACTTTAGGACCTCAGCTAGAACTTGGAGAAGGAGCCAGGAACGTCGCCTTGGGTCTTCCCCGCCAGTTAACGCACAGCCGCCGCTACCCATCGATCCTCGCGTCACATCTTCATGCGCTTCAAAGTCTCAGTTACGTTCTCTTCTCACTAGAAAGGGGACAAGGAAAGAGCTTTGGTGGCCGCGGGGAGCTGCCTTCCATATCGATACTGAAATCCAGGACGGAAGGATCCAACGAAGGAAGTGATGTGTGTGTGGCCTGGACCTGCCCTGCTGAGAGACTGAAAATGCAGGTGACCCCCGTCAACCCAATGGGAACCCAGGAAACGCGTGATAGACCCACATATGCATTTGACCCCACCGATCGCGCTTCTTCGCGTGTAAGTCGCGTAAAAGTCGCGATTTCCCACTTCACTCCTGGTCGTCCACCACCGGGCATCAGGCGTCAGAATTTTCCACGGTTCGCACGGATCACATCAATTCAGTTTCATCCGCCTCTGCTTTGCTCAACACACCCCGCCATTCTCCTGCTCCTTCCATGGACGTCACCGCCCACAATTTGTGATGCCATGAGTCGCTGCCCTCCCGTCACACTCACTCACCTTGACGCTCACCGGGCACATCTAGCGCTTCACCTGCCGCTCTCGCCGCTGCGGTAACTTGCTCTCCGACAACCCAAATGTGAGAACTGGCCAGAGGAATACCTAATTCTCGCCCATTGCAACTGCTTCACCCACTCGCTCTCTAGGCTTTTTTCTTTCATTCTTCTCAGTCTAAATTCCACCGTCGACCGGTGTGACTCTGAATCATACGTCCACGCTCTTTTGAGACTCTGTCTCGTTTATTGCAATCGACAGCTTCCGACTTCAACCAGAGCCGGCACCACTACCCACCCGGTCATCCACTTTGTGGCTTGCTAGCCGCTCACCCTCCGCACGTCGATACTCTGTTCGTCCCAAGAACGAACGGCCGGCACGAACAGGCCTGTCGGCTGCATACGCAGAAACCAGCCTCTTGCGTTTCCTGGGCCCCGGTCCCAACCGGCCGAGCGCAAACCATCGCACAGGCTGCGAACCAGAGCACCATACCGCCGTATTCGCGGAGCAATCGCTACAGGGCAAACGCGCCCTACTCATTGCCAAAAAAGGAGACTACGAAGCTGCACACACACATCCAGCTGCCAGCATCATCTGGCTAATTGTCTCATTGCCCCACAAACCAAGCAAACTGGCCAAGTGTTGTCTTGTGCGAAACCTCCACTGCCCGCCGTGGTCTATCCGGACTCCCAGACATCAGACCGGCTTGTGAGGTGGTCTGTATTTTCGTCTGTTGGATCGAGCGTCCGATTGAGTCCAGCTAGTCGCGGGATTAGCCTGACTTCTACTGCATCTGCTACGCCTGCGGCATCGCCCAACAACCGAGACGGGCCAGTGATCTTGCTGCCGTTGCTTTCCTTTCCGTCATCAGCATCGCGGGGGCCTGCTTTGGTTGCGTTGCCTCGACCAACCCGATCCTTGGCTCGGCGCGCTTCCCAGACTTTGCGCGCGTCGTACCTTACCTTGCAACTGCGAACGAGCAAACCGACCAACGGGAGCCCTGAGCTTTGCTTTGCTTTGCTTTCCTCCCTCGTCCGGACTAGACCCTCGTCGTCCGCTGCTCCATGATCCGCTGCACATGCACTCCTGTCGTGTCCGTCGACTGGCTACACCACACAACACAGTGCATACGGAGTGCATGCGCCTACTGCAATCACCGACACCCTTCCCGCGCCGCTGCCCAGTTCCCTTGAAGGGCCTTCAAGACCCCTGTGAAGAAGAGGAGAGCAGACTTTGACGAGCCACGACTTCACCCGGTTCCAGTCCCAGAAGCAGACACAAGACGATCAATCCCCTCTACGGCGCTTCCCACTTCACGCACCACACCGCACATCTTCAGGGTCCTCTCTGCGGACAACAAGCACCATCACTACGCTCACCCGAGACTCCACTCTGCCACATGCGCTGGTGAGCTTCTGGACCTGTCTTGCGGCGCCATCGCTGGTCCGTCGCTCACAGACTCTCCACTGTCAGTCACCTTGAACGGCACGACTAGGTTCCCTTGGGATTAGCCAAGTGGGGGATTCTAGCGTGCTCAACCGCTGTACGCAGTACAACGCCCCCCCGGCCACCTGTCTGCACGGGGGCTCAAGCGAGCAGTGTGTGTGTGAACCTCACCCCAACTCGAAGTACCTTCGGCGTTCAAGGGCCCGGCTACGGATACCTCTCGCTGCAACCCTCAGGCACTGGGTTCAGGCTCAGGCTCAGGCGCAGGCACAGGTGTCTTCCCATTCGTATCCTGCGTCCCGCCCTGCCCCGACTCCCCAGCGCAAGCTTCGCGCCACCCGCTCTTCTCTTCTCCACCCCGCCCACCGTCTAGAGCTGCCATACATACTACACCGGTCCGCCTCAACCCAAACCGTTCCGATCTTCTCCCTCCCACCCTTCTCTTCAACCACAGTCGTTCCTTTCGCAAGTATCAGCCGTCCTCGGTGGTGGGGGCGCGCTGCGATTCCCGCACGACAAGTTTACGATCACGAGCCTATCCACCACCATTAACGACGACGGTAACGTCTGTCCGGCTCTTTACGACCACGACTCTTTTCCTTATCCTACAGCATCGCGGAAACTTGCGCTTGCGACCCTCCATATCGACGATCTACATACGACCCTAACACGAAACGACGACAGACGACGCGACGTTTTCTTTTTTCTCATTTTTCTTTCGATAATTACTTGGGAGTTGCTACCGTAAACGGCCTCAATCCAGACGAAGCCTGCGCATACCTGAATCGCATTGAGCGCTTCATACCAGTCACTGGAATTGCCTCCTCGAGTCCTGAGACCTGGCAAGTAATCGCTTCGCGCGCGATCTGCGACATTGGTGCCGAGTTCCATTGAGCTCACATTCGCAAAAGATTTTGCGCGCTCTTACGCGAATCGCCAAGCTTTCGAATTCCAGCTTGTCTTAAACAACAGCCACAAAGACGGGTTCAACGGACGTGCTGCCTTTGTTCTCGGTCTGGAAACTTGTTACCTGACCTCATCGCCGAGCTTCGCCGTCTTTGGCATTCTTCCAAGCGGCCGTCGCGCGTCAGAAATTATCTTATTACCGGTCAGGATGAATACTCAACATTCCGGAGCGGCGACCCTGCCAAAGGGCTTCCGCTTCCATGATCCAGAGACGAACCCCAAAACACCGGAGCCTTCCGCGGTGGACGAGGAGTTGCAGCCACCGTCGCCTCCGCGTCCGCGCTTCAAACTGAAAAGGCGCGTCGCATCCAACCTCACCGCCCCGACGAGCCACTTTCTCGCGTCGGTCGCTGCTGCTGATGTGCCAATCCCGAGCATTGAAGAACCCGACGCAGCTGGCGCAAACATGCAGATATCCAGCATGACTTACCCGGTTATCCACAACCTCAAAGATTTGGATGATCTCGCGTTACATAAAGTTCGCGGCAGGCGTTTTTCCCCACCTAAAACGCCAGCGCCCGGCGCCGCTCCCTCGCTATCTCCCAGACGATATCCCAACTGGTCCATCGACTCTGCCTTCAGCAGTGGCGAGTCCACCCCGGAATGCGAATCCAGCCGTCCGTCCACCGCGCGGTCCACACAAACCAGCGCCTCTCTTTTCAGCCGTTTCTCTCTCACGTCCGAAGATTTGCAGTGTATCAGCCCCGAGACTGAGGCCTCTGACCATTTCAATCTGTTGGTTGATGCTGCCGATGAGGTCGCTGAGAAGCCAGTCAACGCAAAGGGGAAGAGGAGAAAGGCCCCTTGGACCAAAGCCATGAGCGATCACCTTTGGACGACATATCTGATGTACCTTCAGGACCCGAAAGTCACGCCGTTCCGCACCGGCAAAAGCTGCATCCCTCCCCACGGAGTATGCCTCCGCGTCGCCAGGGAAGCCAAGAGGAGTTGGAGAGGCCCCAAGGGCGCGAAGAGGTCGATGAACCCGAAGAGCGGCAGCAGTACCCCTACCGTGGAAGCCGCATGCACCTTCTTGCAGTGGCCACATACATGTGCAGCCACTCGTGCTCATTTGAGAGAGCTGTGCAAACTCAAGGCAGCCTCCTCCGCAGCCCGAAAGACTCGATTCCTCGCCCATAGCCCGACGCCTTTCGGTCGGACCGCTACAAGGTTCTGGAACCGGAGATCCACCCCGGCCCGGTCCCCTTCCGTCTTCTCGGCTCACGACATGTCAATGTCGCTGACCCTCAGCACCTCTGAGGCTATGCAACCCCAAGGCCCCCTGGCAAAACTCACACAGTCGAGCCCGGAACCCGTCGAAGAACCAATGACGGAACCGTTTCCTTCCTTGCCTCTCGACGTCTCCAGTCTCAACGTACCTATGGAGGAACGTCCGCGGCTGGCTTCGCCCTTCATGCCCAACAGCTATGGACCTAGTTCGACAGGAGCCCTCTCTGATGCGATTGCTTCGATGCCTCAGAGACAGAATCAGAGCTTGGGGCATCGCCGCAGCACTCTTCAACCTCCTGCTCGCTTGACGAGGAGTAGGTCCAACACTCAAAAGCGCGTTGGGAGGCCAAGGCTGGCTACTCATGAGCCACGAAAGACGAAGCGCCCGAGTCTCGGCTCTGACCTGTGGACCGGACCTTCTCCTTTCGACGACATGCCCAAGACACCTCTCCGCCCAGATACGGAGTTTAGCTCAACGAACAGCAACGTCCACGATGACCTGTTCGTCCCGCGAACCAACATTGCAGGACTCTTCACCGCTCCGATGCCAATTCCGTCCGCTCGGCCGGAAACTGCTGGAGCATCTCTGGCAGCCCCTACTGCGCCTCCTGCGCGCCTAGGATCACCCTTCCCTGGGTCAACCAGCTTCTCGTTCCCCAACCGGTTTACCCAGCCGGAGGAGTTTGACCACGGAACTATCCGCCGTCCTTTTGCGACGGTCCAACAATCTGGCGAAAGCGGATCAGCTCCGCCTCGCAACCTGGCTAACCGCCTGGCCTATATTGACGAACGTCTTCGGGAGTTCAGACAGCGCGATACCAATCGCCGCCGGTCGGAATCGCCCTTTTAGTGAACATTTTCTTTGTACATTTGCTACGCCCGTTACTACTTGACGACTTTACGAGTTCATGCGAGTCATCTGCTTGATACCCATGTGGACAGACTCTTGCAAGGACATACCCCTCGACGGTACATAGACGACAGCACGCTTACGATGGTTTCCTTACTTTTACTTCTCACGGACACATTTGCTTCACATATCGAGGGATCGAAACCCTCCGGGCTTGGAGGACTAATTTCCACTTTGCTTGAGATAGTGTGCGATTTGGACGTCAAGCCGCTTTTGTTCTCTTGGCTAGCACTAGCTGCCCAATTCCTGTTATGAAAACCATGACGAAGGATATGATGAAACGACACTCGACGAGGACGTCGGATATTTTTCTTGCTTGTACTTATTGGCAGACCAGCGGACTCTTTTTGGAGGCTCCGGCGGTGTTGTCGAGAAACGAAAAAAAAGGTTCCTCACTGAAGGAAGTCACCAAAAGGCAAAAAAAGACAAAACAACCCAGTGTCAGTCAGAGCCGGGATTCAGAACCGGTTTCTTTAGACGAATGGAAACGATCTTTAGGCATACTCTCCTCCTGCCCAACTTCGTGTTGTGAGGTCCTTGACGTCAACTGACGCATGTTTGTGCCATCTTGTGTGATGTTTGGCCGCTGGACGGCGAATGGCTCGATGGCCTCGACGATGTGCAGCCGAACTTACATGAAGCGATTCGATGAGGACAGTCGGAGAGGAGAGGTGGCTGGACCTATTAGAATAGGCCAAGACGGGTGTGTGGTCTGCTGATTTGGTGCTGATTTGGTGCATGTAGCCGATGTGATGTGCGGGGTGATGTGTGACAGAACAGGATATCTCTCGTCCCGTTCATGCGGCTTGCATTTGAGTCAGCATTGGGAACGGCAGACGTATCTTTTGATTGTTATTGCTTCGCTGTCCCAGGATGTTTGGTTCTTGTCCTTCTTTCTGGCGTTTGTTTATTGATTTAGGATGCACGAAAGGGCTGGGTATGCAGATCGTGGTGTCTGGTTTGAGGCTCTGGATGGCTCGGGTTCGGCTTCGGATGGGGCGGTTGGAGGGTTCGCAGCCGACAGCAGTCTAGAGGACTCAGAAACGGAAGGTCGGGGAAGAGGCCGTTCGGCGAGTTGATTGTCATCTCTGCAGGGGGAAGGCTTCCTCTGGATGATTTCGACGGGAGATGGAAGACTGTGTTGGAATTGTCGGCATCTTTTTCACTTTGGTGTCCTGCAAGATTTTTGATGCCCAGCGAGTGTAGGGCAAAGAATTGAGAAAAATGTGCCGCAGTGCCGGGTAAAAGTCGCAGCGGGCCTGTTGCCTTCTTTTCCTTGACTAAGAGCTTGATTACACTATTGAATAACCCATTGGGTGAATTAGCCACTCGGCCGAGAAATAATCCAGATGGTCAGGTCCAAGTCGAGAATGACTTTTGCGGCGGGGGACGGGGACGGGGGACGGACCGGTTCCATCGCCGGCCGCCACATCGCTGCTTCAGTCTGCCCACCCACCCTCAGACACAGTTCGTCTCGAGAGTCCCGGATATCCGGCCCAAACCGCACAGTCGCTGAACCTTGGGCGTTGCAGACGCCAGTGCTGTCTCACGGCCCCCAAAGCAAATCAGCCAGGTTTCGTTGCAAAGAAAACAGTATCCCCACCGGTTCGGGCCTCCGGTTGGGAATGAATTCTCGTCCCCCCTCCGGCTCATCTCAAATGGCGAGCGAGCGAGCGAGCGATCCGTCCCGCGAAACGAAACGTGGTTCACGGGCGCTGGCCACTCGCATGGAACGGCCGATAGGGGCAATTTATAAGAAAGCATGTATTCTAATGTAAAAAAATGTTTCGTTACGGCTCTGGGTTGTGACGTCCGATTATTCAATGGTTCAGCCCGGCCGGAACCCGAAGCACCCGAACGAAAGCACGTCCGTCGTCCGGTCCCGTCTCGATCCCCCAATGAAGAAGGTACTTGAGTATAGTTGACCCCTTTTTGTGCTCATGGTTTAGCTCGCAGACGATGTATGTTTCTTTCAAGCCAGATCCATTGTATTTTATCTTTAAGCTTCAATGATGATTTGGGCTTGGGTGCTTGTTTGCTTCGCCTGCACCTGAGAATTGTGTAAATTGCGGCGGGCGGCGGTAGTTCTTCGCGGTCTAACACAGCTCTGGCACACGGTCTGTCTAGTGGCATGTCCTAATTGGCCAATTGGTTCAGCTAGCTGGCACAGCTGTCAGCCTAGAAGTCTGCCACATACACACGCACACACTTGCCTGGGGAAAAGTCTCCGGGGACGGGGGAGGAGGGAGGGATCATTCATCATCAGCCCGTCTGCCTTGAGCCATCCTTCCCCAGAGTCGATCGATCCCAAGAGGATGGGAACGGCCACCTTCGATCTGCAGGCTGTGTGTGCGTGTTGCATCACTCTCCTCACGCCAGGCATCACTGGTTGGACCACCGATCCTGCCGACTGCTTTGGGAGCGCAAACGGAGTTGGTTCACTCATGGCTGTGCCGCTTTCCAAAAGTATTGGCAGGGAGCGGCGTCTGTCTTTTCCATCCATCTCACGCAGCCCGACGACGTCTGGTCTTACGCCCGGCTTTGCTGAGGCAGCTAGCTGTCTCTCGCCCTGCGGCGCGCGCGCGCCCTGCGGTGGAGTGTTGGCGCCGTCATGCTGCCTATTCCCCCCTCGATTAATTGACACCAAGACATTGGGAGAATGAGAGAGAGATGCAAGGACTCTTGGGTTCCAATGGGTTTGAATTCCCCAGTTTGCGTTCCCAGTGTGCTAGCCCATGCCCCAAGGCCTCCAATGTCTTGTCCTCCGATCCGATACAGCCGGCCGAGACTTTTGGCGTTTGTGCTGCTGAGTCTGAGCATCTCCGGCCCATTCTCCGTTCCTCCTCGCGCCGTCTGTGACGTCGCACTGCACTCTAGCTCGACCTTTGAATAAAATTACAGAAATCCGGGGAGGGAAAGAATACGAGCTACGCAGAGGTAATGACAGCGACCCGCGTAAAAAAAAACATAAGGGGATCTACGTGACGGCTGTCGCTCGTATAAAACCGCACTTCAAATTTCCCGTTTGGTACGGCCGGGGCGTCAGGGATGGCCGTCTCCAGCTAGAGGTAGGGGTTAGTCGGTTCTATTAGCTGGGAACCCGGGAAATCGGAGGTGTCGTGACAGAAGCCCCGAGCGCGCCCCCAACACACGCGAGCGAGGTGAGCGAGAGCGCTCGCGCGTGGTTTTACCATGTGGTTTTTGGCGAGGGATTGCTGCGAACCATGGCCGGGGAATGGTACCCCAAGTCCGAGGTCAGAGGCAGGGAGAACGCTGTGCAAGCACGTGAGACTGAATGACGGGCTCGGTCGCGGGTGACTTTTCTTACTCCACGAGGGAGAGCGAGGCATCCGCCAAGCTGCTCACCACAAGATCGAGAACAGGGGCATTAATTACATCGCGCTGCTTTGTAAGTAAGTGCAGGCCCGTCCCAGGGCGCCGTCACGTTAAACCAGGAAGCCCGTCCAAACGAAACAAAACCCCCATTTAGCACCAAATAAGCAGCGGATCGTTCCCGAACGAACGACCTGCAAACGCAGCGCCCAACCCCGTAAAAAAAGCACCTTATTTAGCAGCTTGTTTAAATTACATCAAGCCCGGCAAACCCATCTCAACCCCCATCGGGACAAGGAATAAACTGGAGCATACATACAGAAGAGGATGAAGTCGGACCCAAGCACTGCTGAACATTCGGGCAGGGGCAAGGGACAGGGACTCGCAGGGCTGAGCAGCCTCTTCTTCCCTCGGGGCGGTTCTTCTCTCTCGGGGATGTGACTCCCGTGGCCTGCTTCAACCTCTGTGACCTCGGCAGACAACTCCCCTTGGAAGTGTCCAGTTTGAAAAGCACTCCAGCAAGATAGATACTCTCCCGAGAAGGACCTGAAGCCACCACCGTCAAGCCAAGCCGTTAACCCAGCTCTTGCCCCAACCCGGCCCAGAAGCCACGAGAAACGCCGTTCGTTCGTTCATGCACACAAGCCACTGACCGAATCCCCCAACGAACGATCAACATGGTCAGATCCATTCGGGCATTCGCTTCTCTAATGATGGCTGCCTACCCAGTTCCGCCGCAGCGCCCCCCCCCTACCCCCCGGTCCGCCCAAAAAATGCGCCCACCCCAAAGCTCCGGCGGTCCCCTTGGCGCACGGAGCCGGCTCGCGCATCGATGGGGCCCCCCTCCCCCTCTCATGTGTCTTTGCATTCCTTATTCTTGCCGTTCGTCTTACACAAGGTAGGTAGACAGGTACATTGAATACCTCACATTGGGAGAAAGTCAATTCCAATGCGAAATGGGGGACGGAGAGCACGAGGGAGTCCGATGACAGCGCCGGTGTCACGGCTGGATAGAGGAAGAATCCGAGCTTGCAAGAACCTAACCGACCCGAAAGAGGCAATACTTGGTAGTCCAAACTCTCGGCTCATGCGAGACCTCGACACAGAGATCGGACCAGGCACCGCGTCCAAGCTTTGGGTTTTGTACAACTCAGAATGTCCGGCGGTCACACACACACACACACACACACACACACACACACACACACACACACCTTTCTGGTCGCATGCCCTCTTTCCCGTCATGTCTTTGGACGCCGCGCCCCCCCTCCCTAGGCCGCTACGCCCGGCTTATGCTGGGCCGCCGCTGGTAGGTACTTCTCCGGGCTTTTCAGAGGGAAGGGAGGAAAGCGGGGTGGTAAAGTCTATAATATCGTGTCAGACCGCACCACCACACCTCCGATCTGCTTCCCTCGTGTCTTGTTCTGTTCGTATTCTGGGGATATTGCATTAGATCATAGAGTCTACAACTTCATCTAACACAACAGCTCCAAAGCTCGACTGGCACAGTGAAGTGGGAAACCTGACTTGCTTACGACATCAGCCGTGTGTAACCTCATCCACGAACGACTTTTACGGCTTCACGGCGTCACGACGGCAACATCACA